AACGAGTCTCGACCAAGTCTCAAATGAGTATCGGTCGAGTATCAACCGACTCTCGCCCGATATACCGACCGATATATCGTTTGAGAACACCTACAGTAAACATGATCAACACAGAAGTAGTCACAAGGGCAAACCAGAAAAGACAAAATTGCAAGTACATGTAGCCAACGAGAACGCCATCATTTGTGAGTACGTTNNNNGTTTTAAACCAGAAAATTTATTTTGGAAAATATTTAAGGGGTGTACAAAGTTTTTGAAGTTTTCTGTAAAACAAAAGCGGCAAGGAAAACGACGCCTAGAAGCAACAGAATTGAAAATCAACAAGGCAAACGACTCAAAATCAGTTTTCCTGCGGGAAAATCTGGCGCGTGCGCATACGTTCTTCAGCTCTGTTACCATTTCTGCTGTTGGACTCCATTTCTAGCAACGGCCACAATACTTTCATTGAAGTGGTATAAAGTAATTCAGAAACTGCGTCTCAGCCACACTCGGTCTTTCTCTACTCGCTCGTAAAAGCGCATAGGCGTCGTAGTCGACAATACGCGCTAAAGAACCAAACTCATACCATGCTATTCTACAGTCATGTCAAAAGTACAAATTAAAGTGATAAAACCTCTGTCTTGAGGTGGAGTTCAAAGCTTAGCTTGCCCCACCAATTTATACAGAAAAGAACTGAGAATTTGAAGAGAATTTATGTTCGAATATGTTTTTAAATGAATGTTGTACTTGTAATTGTCTACAAAAAAAGGTTAGCTGCTGAAGTATCCATTTTCAAACAATATAAACATTTGCGCCTTTAAATTTATTGGAATGTGTCATTATAACAAAATAGATTGATGTAGTTGTGTTCCGAAAGAATTAAATTTGTGAAATAACCTTTTCATGGCTTTTCTTTGGTCTTCTTTAGAGGCATAGCGGCTGTTGGGCTTGGAGAAGAGAGGCGACGCCTTTCTTCGAATCAAGAAACATTCAAACTGAATAATTTATTAAAACGAATGTTCGAAATTATGAGTAATCCAAGGCCATTTACCTACCCCCTCACCCAGGCCATTTACCTACCCCCTCACCCAGTGCAATCAAGGCTCGCTTAGGACAAGAGATACAGAAATCATGTTTGTATCAGTTCACTTTAAGACAGGCCATTGTTACACATAATCCATACTGCTGGTGAAACTGAAGCGAGACTTCGAAACTTCCGAAAGGGTAAACCATGAACGGACTCATGTGTAAAGTCTTTGAGATGTTTTATTGCTTCGTTTTACAGTAAATCTTAACTCGGTGCCATTTCCCTCTAAATGCCACTTTTACTTCAAAGTTATTCTTACTGTAAAAGTCATGTTTGATGAACACGTTTAAACAAAGCATTCAAACAGTTTGAATACCACATAATACGATGAACTAGAATTCTCGATATGAGTTAAACAATGTAAAAATGAACTTCAAAATTAGACTTCAAAACGCTACCAAATACCTATTTTTGTGGTATCCAAAGACCTTTCGTTTCTTTTTTTTTTGTGTGTTATGGTTAATATCAATAATAATGACGAATTATGTTATAAAAGTGACAGACGCCACTGCAACTCCCAATGATTTTAATATTCGCAAACGAGTTATAAAAATTCTAGAAATGAGCTATTTAGATCATTTGTTTTCTAAAAAAAATCTGTAACAACCGACGTCTTACCTGTTACAAATCCTGTTTTTCTCCTCTTTTTTTGTATACTTTCATCGGTTTTATTCATTTAGTTTAATTTAATG